TTGAAAAAACACGACCATATAAATATTTTAAATTAAATGGCAATTTAAAAAGGTATCTCATTTTCCACCTTCCAATGATCACATTTTTGTTTGATATCATCCCAAATCCATTTTGATAATATAGACCATAAGAAGGCCAATTTGTTAACTATATAATGATTAAAACATCTTATGATATGCTACCTATCTCATTCGCCTCGAATTAATAGAAAATAAAATACGGAGAGTATGTACACACATAAATGTATGGACAACTTATATATTTATAATGCTATGAATTTAAAGTTATTTGTTAAAAAATTCTTCGATTAGATTCTATTTATTTTGACGTAAAATATTTTATATCTAAAAATATTTTTTTATGAATTGATTTTGCATAAAAAGATATAACTCTTTTTGTTTTCTGATGCTTAGTTTACACAAGAAATAAAATTTTCTATTGTATGCATTGGGTAGAAGTCACTGAAGAGCCATCACTACACATTTGAAGATGAACTGGAAGTGAACTTCCTAAAAGATTGACTTATAGAATTTTTAATGATCGTTTTAAGGATTATGATGAAAAATATTTGTAAAAAAAATGTCTTACTTACTTTTTCTTCAATTAAAACATTTTATGAGAAAAATAGAGCCTTATTTGTAAAAAATACGAATAAAATATAAATTATTATTATTAATATTTTATATTTCCCTCTCATTGATCTTCTAATCTCCTAAATATACATAAGTAGTCAATTGAACTAGTATAGTTGGTTGGTACTTATATATTCATATGTTCAAACGTTTTAAGTATTATATCAAATAATTTGAAAGTTTCTTCCTGTAGTAATATTAAGATGATTAAATTTGAGCATTAAATTTTAGATATATATTTCAACAGAAAAAAAAATAAAAAATCAGGTACTATATAATTATTAATGTACTAATATATAGCATAAAATATGGAGCTCATTAAAGAAATGTTTTATCTAAATTTTCGTATTTAAATTTGGTCACTGGAACATTATTATTCTTCTTATTACATGATTCAGTTTATTGACAATTTTTACAAATAAAATGTGTTACGTAAGAGATTAAAAAATATCATGACACTCCTTAGTGAAAATAGTGTTAAAATAAGTTAATTAATTCATAACTAAACAAGGGCTACGGTTTCTGTCAAGTTTTTTATTGGATTGGAGAGGTGCTGTTAGGTTTTGTGGACTTACTTTTAGATCTCGTTTCGATAATATAAATCGTTCACATTTTAGGATTCATCAAGTATATTATCCTTATAAAAAATTAAGTTGATCAAATAATGGCAGCCATGTGTTTAGATCAGTTTTGTATAAAAAAAAAAAAAAAATGGACGGTAAGAAAATAAACAGCTCATACAAAATTAATCCGAACACGTAATTTATTCGATCGACTAAATTTTTTGCAGGGATGATATATTCGAGGAACCCTAAAATGTAAGTAATTTGAATTATTAAAACAAAACTAAAAAATGAGCCACTAGGCCGAACTGGACAATCTAATCTGATTACGAACCGGAGACAGTCCAATCTCTTAAACAAGTTATCCGTGTCAACTTCGTATTATGTAGATTCAATATTAATCTGATATGTTTAGTATTCATATTATCAAATCATATCATATACATATTCATATTAAAAAATAATCAATTCTAATTCGTTAATTTCATATGAGATTCCAACCACCGTCTACCCAAGAAACTATTTGATAAAGGGCTAAGGTTCTTTTTTATGGATACTAAAGGGAGAATTAAAAATTTCCACTGCCTGGTATTAGTGTATAGGCATTGAAGATTGAAGACTTTGAGAAACCATGTGTCTCAATCATGCAATGTCAATTTATATGTAAAGTTTGTTTAATCATGCATCAACTCAAATTTTTTTGTTTATTTTTCTTGATAACAAGAAATAAACCATGCATCATCTCATTTATTTATTCTTGATATCGAGAAATAAAAAAGCTTAACATATAAATTGGAATAAATTACACCAATAATCCTTATAATTATTTTATTTTAATCTTTACAGTTTTAATTAGCTCATTTTGACTATTAATTTTAAATTTTGCTTTAATTTGGTCTAATTGATAATATCGTTAGAGTTTTTGACATAAATTTTCACTCAGTTGATTAAGGTTAAGTTGTTGAATTGATCAAATTTATAATTTTATTCTTAAAAGTATGACACATACCGTTTATGTGTGTATTTTTCAAAATACTAACTATTAAAAGCAATTAAATCAATTTAAAATAAAATAAAAATTCAAAAGACTTAAATAACATAAAAATCAAAGCATATAGACTATAAGTGTAATTTGCCCTAAGATGTTGATACAGTAGAAGTGCTCAGACCTGGATGATGATCACAATCATTCATTTTCCAAACACAGAATGAAACCAAACTATGGCAAAGCATTTTTATTCCGAAAATACTTTAAACCTCTAAATTGTAAGCTCCAAAAGAATTCTAACATGTGAGTCTTCGTGTGTGATTTGATGTTTAAAGCTCTTAATCACCATTGTTTTTATTCCCTGTCATGTGCAGCCTGCAGGGTCAAAAAAGGTTGTTACCAAAAGAGCATGGGACATCATTGTCATTATCTGAAACAAGAAGGGTATTCTAGTCAATTCAAGTAAACTCTCATAATTAATTATTCAAAATTTTTATTATCAGAGACCCAAAGAGCGCCATTGGCGTGCGCTATAATATAATAATTGAAAGGATAATTTTTTTAAAAAATTCTTAATATTAAGATTTTATAGAATAAAAGATATATAATAATTTTATAGTGATTGGAATCTTTCAATATTTTATTAGAAAAATTTCGATTCGAGAAATTTCGCTGACTATATTTGTATGTTCATATTTAAAAGTTCTTTGCACACATTAAAAACTCCTTAGAATTTCTCTGGGTGTGTTTGTTCGTGTTTAAAATTTCATTGGGCATTTTCACTAAAATTTCTCTAAACACATCACAATCTCACAGTGTTTGAGAAAATTCACACGCCAAAGAAAATTCACAAAATTACAAACAGTGATCACAACCAGAAAAAATTAACATAATAATCACAGCCAAAGAAAATTCATACAGTCAGAGAAAATTCACAAAATTACAAAAAAATGATTACAACCAGAGAAAATTTACACAGTTCTCATATCCAAAGAAAATTCACATAGTTTAGAAAAAATTCAATTTGATTTGTTTACACAACTTTCAATCTGATTTGTTCACATATCACAATTTTCTCGTCCAAATTTTGCTACATTCGTGAGTTTATTGCTGTCCATTATCACCTATTCTTTCCCAAAATCTGCATGTGTATATGGGAGAAAGAGAAAGAAAGTGGGAGAGAAAAAAACAAAAAGAAAGAAAGAAAGAGAGAATCCTAACCCCCTAACCCAAATCACCTCCTCTGTTTTCCTTTCCAGTTTTTTCAGCACACTTTTAATATCATTCAACCAAACAATCCCTCATTTTATTAATTCACATCATTTCCAATATATCTCTCCATACCTCCCTACCACCACCTTTCGTTTTTTATGCTTCCAAAAATCATGGGTTCGTATGGTTTGTGTTTCTGAAAATTTTTTGAGAAATTTTCTTTACAAATAAGTTTGTAAAAGTAATCAAATCAAATAAATTTTTTTAAAAAAATTTCTTAAAACTTGTGAATCAAACAAGTTTTTCAAACAAATCTCTCTCTCACACACATCAAATCAATCATTTTTTTCAAAATTTTCTCTCAAAATAATTTTCCAAAACATCTTTTAAAAAAATCAAACCAAACAACTTTTCGTACTTTTTATCTCTAAAACACATCTCTCAAACGCAAAACCAAACATACCCCATATATAGCAATCATACCCAAATACCAAAACAAAATGTCTCTTGAAAGCCATTACAATACAAAAAGAAATTAAGAAAACATTGAGGAAGATCTGTGAAAAGGATATATGATAGTGATTCAAGCGCAATTGAATTTGGGTTTTCTTTGGGAGGTTCACAGAATTGGATGGACAATACTTATTTCTATCTTTAACAACAACAACAATTGCTAAATCTACAACAGAAAACTCAAAATCGATGCTCTGAAAATAATGGGTTGATCCCGTCGGTTCGATACTAGTATTGTAATTCATAACCTTTGTCTGTGTGTGTGCCTTTTGCTAGTACTGGGATCAGATCTAGAGCGAAGATAAGGCTCTGTGGTTGGCAGATGAGGCATCGGTGTGGGAAAGGAAGAAAGAGAGAAAAGAGAGGAAAAAGAATGAAAGAGTGGCTGCCGCCCAAATGTTAAACAGTCATGGGAAGAGAGAGAAGAGAGGATGAGGGAGGGAGAGGAGAAATATGGGTGAGGGAGCTTTGACTAAAAAAATAAAAAAATAAAAAAAAAAAAAAGAAATGTCAGAGATCATGAAGAATTTTTCATAAAAATAATCATAAAAGATTTGTGATTTTTAGATTACTTTGATTAGTGTGTGGTGTTTTATTCTAAATATAATCCAAAGGTCATAAATCTTTCATGATCATTTTCATAAAAGACTTTTCATGATAGCTAACATTGCTGAAAAAAAAATATTGTAAAGTTTGAGAGAGTTGTTAAACTAAATTTTTCTAATTAAAATATGATAAATTTTTAAAATTTATTTAAAATACAAATTATGTTTTATAATTTTAAAGATTATAATTTGTTTCTTTAAATTTATAATCACATAATAAAAAATTATTTTTATTAATAAATTATCAACCAATTAAATTTTTTAATAATATCTAAAATATATTTTAATTAATAATTTTGATAATTTTATTATTTTAAAATATTTAAAATTTTCATTTTTTACTTTAATTCTATTAAATAAAAAAATAAAACAAAGAGAGTTTTGCAAATTTTAAAATCAGAATAAGTAAAATTTATATTTTAAATAAATTTTAAAAGTATATTTATAATTTATTAATTAAAATAAAATAAAAAATTTCATAGAACACATGTCTCGCTTTCTCTGTTGTTTTTTATCAACCACTGACCCCTCTCTCTCTGTACAGAGACCATATGGATTCATGGGTTTGAATTCAGAATTAAAGCAGAGCTTTTGGGGATTCCGCCCACTGCTCTTAACTCAACACAAAGTAAGTTTCTTTTCCTTTGAATTTCTTCTTTCAATTCATCAATTTTACGTTTTGGGCCCAATTTTTTTCTTAATTTGAATCTGGATATGGTTTTTTTTTTTCTATCTTGTTTGGATGCTATTTTCTTTAGAATTAAGCTCTGTTTGGTTGCTGAGAAGTTGTTAAAAGCAAAATAATAAAAATCAAAGCTTCAAGCCTTAATTTATTTTCCATTGTTTATGACAAGAGAGCTTCTGGACAAGTAAATCTAGCACAATTGTGTAGTTGGGAAATAGAACAAAGGCTAGTCGATAATTTTGTTCCCTTTTACTCTTTCCTCAGATTTCCTAGTGACCAAATGTTGGGTTTTCTTGTTTGGATACTTAATTTTACTAAACTGAATGTTTGGGAAAATGGTATTGAATTGAACTGTTTGCACAGTCATGGATGAGTGAGGTGTTGTGATCTGCTGGGTTTTGTTTATTTACAAATTTAAATATTTATAGTTTTGGATGCAACTCCTTTTCTTTGCGCTACTTTTCAAGATCATTTCTTATCATGTATCTATAATGATTGTATATTATGAAAATTGCCTGATTTTAGGCTGTTTGGTCTGCATTACTTTTTTCGTGCCTTTTCTTTACCTTGTTTCCTTATTTTTATTTATTTTTTTCCCCAATTTTTTTTTCCTTCTCTTTTGTCGTTTTGGGTATTGTTGTTGACAGATGACATGTTTTTAAGATTTAGGAAAAATAATTAGTTATTTATTTGCATCTATCACCAATAGATTAATTCATGAGACCTTGGAAATGAGTTGGTTCTAGGGTAAAATTTTCTGGGGACATTTTTTTTGTTCAAACTAATTTGGTTTTTGTATAGAATCAATTTGGTCATTTACTTCTTCTTTCTTTCTTTTTATTATTTTTTTTCTTTTTTCTGATTTAGGGTGATCCTTATGTCTAAAACCTTAGAGTGGAATGCAAATAACCCATTTTTTCTGATTTATTTTCTGATATTTTATCCAAAGATTTTGGTATTGGCTATTAATGCTTTGTGTTGGTTCATGAGGTTTTGTTTCATTGTAACTTCTTTAATATTGTGGTTGGTACAGTAAATTTAGGGGTTGAGTCATTGATTATTTCCTCAAGAAAGTTGTGAATAATGCCAACAAATTCGGAAAATGAAGATCGGCAATCAGAAAATGGAGCACATGTCATTCCACCGTCGACAGTCTACTCCCAACCTTGGTGGCGTGTAACCGGAACCAATGGCATGCCTTCTCCAGTGGAACACATCAATGGTTCTGCCACTGGAAGAGCAATGTCCCAAGCTAATGGTGATGCTAGCAATAAAGAAGCACATACCATTAATGCCCAGCAATCTGGTATTTATTCTTTCATTTTACTAATGTTATGTGTATTGTCGTATGGTGGTACTGACTACTTAGTAAATACGATTGTTTGATTACCAACCCTTTTTCAATGGAAAATCAGTTAATAAAAACAGGTGCCGTTCATTTGTACTAGTTGTTTGATTGGAAGACTTGATACATTGTTAATATTCGAAACTAATTTTCTACTTAGGTCTTTACCATTTTTTTGTGCACTATGCCAAAGGTTAGCTGTGTACCAAATTTTTTTCCTCCCAAACACAAATTAATGTGTACTAATTGGGCGTTGTTGTTGTATCTTTACCCTTTTTTTGGGTATCAAATTGACAATCTTAATGTACTCTCGCATTTATTGTATTGGTATGTACTATGAAACTATAAAGGATGTAATGAGGTTTTGTAGTTCAGTGATGGGTGCTTTTCACCTAAGCCTAAGTTTTAAGATTCTATGTAGGGTAGATGTAGGTACAATACAAGACGTCAACATTGAAATTCCCAATGAACTACAAATATGGATTTGCTTGGAGATCAACACAACCAACACAAGGAACTAAAACTAGTCAAATAAATGTAGAGTCAATTAACATAAACAAGCCTAGATTCAGAGATGTGCTATGAATCAAATCCATCATTAAAATTGCACAACCAACACAAGGAACTAAAACTAGTCAAATTAATGCTAAGTCAATTAACATAAACAAGCCTAGATTTGTAGATGTGCTATGAATCAAATCCATCATTAAAATTGCAATAAGATATAAACGAACAAATTCACAAGGGGCAACAAATTTTAACATGGAAAACCACAATTGAATTTCTTCAATTGAGGAAAAAAAACCACGGGCACAAAGCCGGAGAAACAATTACTACAAAAATAAGTAATTACAAGAGTTAGCTTACAATCCCTTACATGACCACACTTCATGGCTCAAGCGGTGACTTCATCAACTCAACACTGCCAAGTGTCCTGACCAACACTTCATGGTTCAAGCGGTAACTTCAATAAATCTGCCTTGTGGTCGAGTCTTGGTCACCCCAATACGTTCAGCCTCAGGTCCAGGACATGCGGATCCATCTCAAATAAGAACAAACCCAAAACCTACAAAATAGAACAATTGCAACTCAAAGGATTACAATTAAAAAGTGTTGGTCCAAACGGAATTGCCAAACGACTACCTAGACTCGAGGACTCTTGGACTAACGAACATGACTCAATGTGGACATGGCAAATCCTAAAAAGTAGGATGTTTCTGTAATACATATTGTATCAAAAAAATATGTATATTATTAAGTTATTTTTACTTAAAAGTTGCAAAATGTAGTAGAGAAGCTTAATAGATATTATGTATGTAATGCGTAACTCTTACTGCTTGCTTTCTTACTGTAGTTTTTTGATAAATAATTTTGTATGAACAAAAGTGCCTAAAAGGTGGTAAACCTTATGCATTAAAAAAACTCAAAACTTCTAAACTATACATCCACGAGCAAGTACAAATCTCCAATAAACTGCGCAAAAGACAAAACAAATGATGCACAATCTCCTCTCATCCAAAGAGTACTCTAAGAAGTCCTATTGTGTTCCTTCCAAATAGTCTCCAAAACAGGCCTCCAACACTCTCATTCCCTCCTTAGGGCGTCTGAATCTCTAGCATGAAAACATCTTCCACAAATGATGACATCGCCCAAGTCAAATTAGTCACCAACAAAAGTAAGTTCATTAACTTACTAGCCATTAGACAATGGAGAATAAGATGATTCACACTTCCCCTGCCATCCTTGCATAGACGATTTCGCCATTACCACCAATCAATAATCACCTTTCACCTCTTTCTAAGCTTATCAATATTAACAATGGTCTCAGGAGCATTCACTCAAAAAAAGATACTTCAGGAGGGACCCCACGTTTCCAAATACCTTTTCCAAGGATGGAAAATGTCTCCCCCCACTCAAATCTTGATAGAAAGAGAGAACAAAAAGCACCACTTCTACAAAATATGTCAAGTTATCCTGACAAGCCCCCTTGAACCCCTAAATCATTTAACAACCAAAAAAAAATTGGCAATAGATTGGATCTCCTAATCTTCTACAGCTCGCTTTCACTCCTTTATTAAAAACCACCAAACAATCCTACATTGAAGAGTTCTTATTTGAAGCCAAGGAAAACAAGTCGTGAAACACCTCTGTAAAGGTTTGTGGCCACACTGCAAATCAACTGAAACTTCATTCTATCCCCATTTCGCTCCTTATAAAGGAACAAAATTTTGTTTTGTTTTCATTGAAACAACTGAAATGTTTAACTTTAGTGGAACACAGAAATTCTAATGTTTCCATTGAAACATACTAAATCACACCAAAAAGCATCTAAACATACCAAAATATTGAATTATTTCAACACCTATTAGAAATATCCGACAATTATAGTTTCTATTTGCCACTTTTTTGCCAAAAGACAATATTTAAGAACAAGACAACTTCAATTTATTGGGGAATCCAAGAAACTAGAAAGGAGAAGAGGATAGATAGAGGAGAAAATAAAATAAGCATTATAGGACATTCTTTTTAAAATATTGTCACCGATACTTGTATTTCTACTAGAATTTTGCATTTTATTTTTATGGTTTTTGTTATAATGGCAAACCTTTTCCTTAACTAAGCTTTTAAACTTTTTGGTTATGTGTTTAACACATGGATCTCATTACTAGCGGTGGGTGCAAACGTGATCATTTGCAATTTTATGTGTAAATTTGTGGATGGTTTAATGAATGAGAAAAATTGTTTAACAGTTTTGGGCGGTTATTAGATGTGGTATTTATTGAATGTGGAGGGCATTCTTGGAAAAGAAAAAATGTAACAGCTTCCACACCAAATGGAGTGTTCGCTTTTAATTATTTACGAATATATTAACATTTATATAGGCTTTTAGATTTTTGGTTTTGAAGCATTTTTATACATTTTCAAATTATTTTGTCATTTTGCTTGTATTTTTAAAACGTTTCAAGCTCAACGAAACAAAATTTTGATCCTAGCTCATTATACACAATTCTCTTTGTATATTCTATATAAACCCTCATAACCCCTGTGATGGAGATGTAGAGATGATCACCAGCTACAGTTTTGGCCCTCTGCAAAACAAGGCACCATTAGGGTTGCCTTACAGATGGTGATTGATTGGAGAGCGCTTTGATGCTTAAATCAACAAAATCTTCTAAGAGATCCAGTAATAAATCACTAATGTGGGATTGTATTCCGAACATTTCCTCTTGAGACCTTTGTCTTTCCTCTTCAGATGCTAATTCGTTTTGTAACGAGTCATTCATCACAACCAAGCACAATACCTGACCACATCATGCCTTGTGGCAATAGTTGACAATACCCAATCATGGGCTGCCAGTGTGGCTGGACCCCATAGTGATGCCATTCACTTTTTTTTCTCTCTTCATCTGCCTCCTAGCCTTCACCCCCATCAATCACAGTGTGAAGGTGGTGAAATCTGTGTCTTCGGTCTGCTCTATTCTTTAGCTTGGTACCCTCATCTTACATTGGGCTACTTACCCATATGCTTGGGCATCTGCCCTTCCACAATCCCACCTCACAATGCCCGTAACATTGTCGATGGTTTAGTTACCCCAAGTACCTCCATATTTTCCTTCCATTACCGTTCTCCACAATATTTCTGTTAGAGCACCATTATTCTCAAAAGCTTAAACTATTAAGAAATGGATCCAACATTGTATATCAAGTTATCTAACACCCTTCCTCGTGTGGAGATGCAAATAGATATGACATACATAAAAAGGAGCATAATGCAAACGAGGAACAATTGCAAACAGAAAAAATCGAGCCAAAGTTCTCCCTGAACCTAAGCTTTGATACCATGTTAGATCATCACTAGTACCAAAAGCTTAAACTATTAAGAAATGGGTCAAACAATCTCATCCTACAAAGCAAACCTTCATAACAACTTTCCTAGCAAAGCTTTATTGAACAACTCCAAATTTTGGATTCCCTTCGAAGTTGGGCATACATAGCCTATCACACTTGGAATAGATTGAACAATCGTCATATAAGTAGGCAAATTAGAGAGATCATGATTTATGTGCCCATGGTTATTAAGAAGCTTTTACGTAGTTTTTATTGTAAGAGATAATGGCATCGTAAATATTTTCTATCATCTCAACATAATTGTAATGGTTGAAACTCATATTTATCTTTTGGGAGTTTGAATATGTTATCGTATGTGTTATGTTGGTGATCCGCCTGCCTCAAGTGTCCTCTTTAACCTGGGCTTGGAATCATCTCTTGAAAGGAAATACACTGTTCATGATATGTGTGGTACATAAGGTGCTATTGGTTGTTTTGACAATTTATATGCACAAAAAATGATAATATTTGAGATGGTTGCAAATTACGCATGTGCACATTTCATTCGAGGGTCTAATCATTTTTCATTATATGGCAAAGATGCAAAACACTATTACATGAAGATTATACAAGTAAATATTATTTCTTGAAATTTTATTTTTAATCTTTATTTGTGTAATCATATTTTTATGTTGTAAAATTCTTATTTTAATTAGTACAAAGGAAAATCAAAACTTTGATTTGCTATTTTAATGTTAAAAATATATATTTTTTTCATTGATCAACAAGGAAAAGGATTGAGCTAAGTAGTTGAGAGTGTGGGTTGAGTGTTTGTGAGCTTTAAATAATTAGCTTTAATTTCTGTTGTGAAATTTGCTCTATTGAAAGTCTGTTTAGATACCCTCTTCGGTAGATTGTGCTGAATATACATCATGAATGAAATGTAGGAAAGCTTGCTCTTGGTTGCTAGCTGAAAGATGTCCCCTTTTGTTTTTGAATTTTTTGTCACCGGACACGTTCTGGACACGCTTGGGAACACGTTTGGGACACGGCGGGGTAAAATTCATAATTTATGAAACTTCTGTGGGGTCAATTTGTAAATAACAAAACCAGAACAAATTGTTGAACCCTAGATTCGAAAGAACAGAGAGAACAGAAGATAGAAAGAGAGAGAGAGAGAGAGGCTCGCCGACACACCTGGTAGCTCTTCGCTTGTCGGTGGTCGGTGGTCTGTCGTCGGTGGTCTGTCGTCGCTGTTCTTGCAGTTATCCAAGGTACGACTTCCATCTTCTTCTGCGATCTTCTTCTTCATCTGCAATCTTCTTCTTCGATCTTCTCTTCGTCTCTCTCAGTCGCTCTCTCTCTCTCTCTCTCTCTTACTCTCAGTCACTCTCTCTTCTGCTGAGCTTCACATTTTATCTTGTTTTGTTTTTTTATTTTACACGGTTGATTTGTCTCCCTCTCTTACTTTTATTTTTTTTTCCAATTTTATTATATTTTTTCTTTTTTGTCTTTTATATGGTTGATTTCATTATTTTATTTATTTATTTATTTATTTCTGATTACTAATCAATGATTAATTTTGTTAATTTTAATGATATGTTTTTATTAATTCTACCTTTTAATGATTTTTTTTATAATTTTATGACATATATAAATAAAATTAATTATATATATTGAACGTGTCCCCAGCGTGTCGTGTCCACTATTTTTTGAAAATTTGCGTTTTCGCGTGTCCGTGTCGTGTCACGTGTCTGTGTCCGTGCTTTATAGGGGTCTTGTCCCCTCTAACTGAGGTATTTTGATCTGTTCGTATTCCCCATGGTACTTTATGTGGCATATGAACAGATTTATGCTTAGCCTCTAGTTTTTTTGGTAGCTAGCTTTGTTTGCTTTATTAGCTTTTGTTCAGTCTTCTAGTAATGGATTTTATATCCATTGGCTATTTGTAGATTTGTAGTCTAGCTTCTTTCTTGTGGGTTGTGCTTTGGTTTAGTCTCTTGGGCCTAGGGTATTCACCTTGTATTTGTGTAATTTCTTTCTATTTTATTTTATCACTAGTTCACCCCAAAAAAACAAGGAAAAGGAAAAAAAAGGCAAAATACGAAAGAAAGCATTGGCTCATTTCATCCGACGAATATGTGAAGGGTTCTAAGCAAACGTCTATTTAGAAAACATAGGAAAAAGGATCTGAACTGAACAAGATGTTTTAGATTGCACTTTATTGCTCTAATTGCAATCTTCCCTTGGAGGAGTTTCTGAGTCCAACAACTCCAACCATATGGCTCTACAACACTACACGAAACGTCAGTCCAGTGTCAAAATGAAATGCTACAGTAAATCCAAAGAGCTCTTCTTTTGTCATTGTTATTGTTTTATTTTAAAAATTTTGAAATATAATCAGTTTGTTCTTACCTTTCTTATCTAACACGTGCTCTTCTTACTCTCAACAGAACTTGGATGGCTGTGTTGTTTTCACTGGGTTGCAGTTAATGAATGCTGCTGCAACTGCCCAGTTTTTACCATACAAAATGAGGAATACATGTTACATGTTCACTCTGAGAAATTGGAAAGAAATTGAAATTAAGATTGAAGAAATCTTTTATTCTTTAAGCAAATGAGACAGAGTAAAATGTTTATAGGCGAACATGTATACACGGATTCATTATTAAGGGGTAATAGATTTGCCCAGTAGTTGAAGTTCTTGAAAACATGCACAGGTACCTTGGGAGGGCAGGGAGAGAGCACTTGCACCTCATGTTTGTTGCGATGTATTGTTTTTTATGCTTAGCATTTTAGATATATGTATCCTTCTTCGACTTTTTGATGAGGAAAAATAACACTTACAGCACTACAAGACACAACTTGTTACACATGAAGCATAGAGGAGAAACGAACGAAGTTGCAGGAAAAATGTTCATGTCTCCTAAAAGCTCAAAGAAAGAGTTGATAGAAAAGAGCTCTTGAGAGCCAAAAATGAAAGAACTGAGTATAATTATGTGCCAACTGTCTCTATCCCTTCGAATGATTTCTTTTTATGCTTCTTCCATACTCACAATGATATATATACACGTCTTCTAACATTGTGTGACATACTAATGAAGATCATTCTTTCAGGATTGAATGGTCATAATGTTCAAGAACAGCAGCATCTCAAGCATGTTCCATCTTCGACACCACCAGCGATGGGTGAACATCTTGAACCAAATTCCCAAATGGAACTTGTTGGTCACTCAATTGTAAGAGCACCTCTCTCTCTCTCTCTCTAATGTACTCATGTGCACTGGGAGTATCAACAGGTTTTTTTTTTTTTATTTCTTTTTCTTACTTGATTGTGGGTATGCAATATGCGGCATGACATTAATTGTTATACTTCTGCAGGTGTTGACATCGTATCCATATCCAGACCCACATTATGGGGGAATAATGGCATATGGGGCACAGGTAGGAATGCAAGTTGGTCCCTGCCTCTGTCTCAATTGTAGTTTTAACTTGTTTGGCTCGTTGATATTTTTGTAAACTCTTTTTCTTTCACTACATAGCACTACATCTTTTATCTATTTTGTTGCTCTGCCTCTTATATATTTATTTATGGCCATTCTCTTATCTTTTCTCTTTATCTCATACCCTTTCATGTAAATTGATTGAATCTTATGCTCTATTTGTTTCGGTGGAAACGTTTTCCAAAACCACCACCATCACCGCCGTTGCCACCACCACCTCCACCGCCACCACTACTGCCACTGCCACCACCACCCCAACACCACCACTACGACCTCCTCCTCCACCCCACCGCTGCCACTACTATCACCACTAATGAAACTATTAGTGCATTAGTTTCAAGAATGCAACCAAGCATAGGAAAAATTTTCTGAATTTTTTTTTTTTGTAGAAAATGTTTTCCTTTGGAAAAAGTTTTCCGCTGAAATAAACGGAGCATTAGCCTGACTCTAGCTCTGTGTCTGTCTTGCTCTCATGCTTGTATGTGTGCTTGCATTTTGTTTTTCTTTTGTATTAGTTTGTGGTAATGTTACCACTTCCCAATTGGGAACACCACGTGTTTCAACTTTGAGTCCTGTACTCTTGTTCAGTGTTTGTTTGTGTTTCTTTCAATCTGTACTTGTAACAGAACTTGTGGTAGTGCTGCAAGTCCCTTTGCAACATATTACACGGCATACATTCAGAATTTCAAATTACAGACCATATCGTACTTTGCTCTTTATCTAGGGAATGTCTGTACTGCTGGAGCTGGAAAGAAAGTTGTTTATTGTGCATATACATGAACATAAATCCATGAGTATACAAGCTGTGCACATCCCATGGGTGTGCTATGCAAATCAAAGATACCAATCCTTTAATCGTTCACCATCAAAATTTTAAGTAGTTGAACTGTAGATAAAGAGAAGAATTAAAGAAATTAAAATTTGAAATAAAAAACTGGAGCAGTTGCATAGGGGCAATTTGGTCTTTAGAAAATGCGTGATGTAGCTTCAAATGGGCATTCACACCAATTGCAGAGTTTATTATATAATAGTATAGACATTTGTATGATTAAATTGATTAATCAGTATCATCAAACTGTCTCCTTTTTATCTTTCTCTCTTTGTTGTTGATGTGATGGTGCTGTCTTTTGGTATTACTTTCATGTAATTAATATTTCTTTCGTAAGTGCTATGCAAATTAGTATATATTTTGTTTGCACACACACACACACACATATATGTATATATATTAATATGAAGCAACACTAGAATCCGTGTGTGGGGGTACTGTGAGGTCTACATGGACTATCTTATTGCACATGCTACAGTTCTAAAAAAGTGAAGACTGAATATATGTATGTCTAACAATTATTGCCATCATCCCAGGTACATCCTCATTTACTAGGTATCCATCAGACTAGAATGCCTTTGCCCCTCGAAATGGAAGAGGAGCCTGTTTATGTGAATGCAAAGCAGTATCATGGAATTTTGCGGCGAAGGCAAATACGAGCTAAGCTGGAACTGGAAAAGAAAGTAATAAAAGCTAGGAAGGTAGGAGTTACAGTTTGTGGTTTCTATTCTTTAAATGAGATAAAAGCGCCATCAATTATTAACTATGAACTACTGCTTGCTATTCTAACCTCAAAACCTTCATTCCCTGACCCCACACACAAACCACCAAATAAGGTAGAGACGGACTAGCAAAGGGAAATGTATTAAATATATTTAGACATGCATTAAGTTATGGGGAAAAAAATATCAGTGCAAATTTCACTGTATGTCTGTTTCTAGTCTAGGTGTTTGGGGATTGTTTTTGTCGTCTCTTATTTTGGTCTTTAGTGAACTTTTTAATAGAATTCCAAAAAGTTTTAGGCTTTTAGATTCTACTCAACCAGACGAATCGAAAATTTAAAAAAAAAAATTAATTTTAGAAAAGACAAAAATATGCCAAAAATAGTGGACTTATTTTGGCTTATTTTAATATATATATTTTTGAAAATTTTCAAAAAAAAAAAAATGTACTTTTTAGATTCGTCTACATAAGGCAGATTGGAAAAGTAGAAAAGTTTGACATAATTTTGAAAAAAGGTCATTAGAGACAAAAAAGAAAAAATGTGGCTTATTTAGAAGTTCCCAAACATATCGAGTAGTGTGTGTATTCATTTTTATCTCTATCCATCGATTGCTTTTTACTTTGAATGTAGGCTATGATTAGTTATAAGCATTAATCCCTCTCTTGTATGTTTTGGCTCATATATAACTTAAAATTTAAAAAATTGAACAAGTTTCAGCATTTATCTTCAAGTGAAACGAATTTAGAGTTCTACCGTATGAGAAAGTTTGAGAAAGAAAAACATGAATACTGAATTTTCTTCGTCTACATAAGGCAGATCGGAAAAGTAGAAAAGTTTGACATAATTTTGAAAAAAGGTCATTAGAGACAAAAAAGAAAAATTGTGGCTTATTTAGAAGTTCCCAAACATATCGAGTAGTGTGTGTATTCATTTTTATCTCTATCCATCGATTGCTTTTTACTTTGAATGTAGGCTATGATTAGTTATAAGCATTAATCCCTCTCTTGTATGTTTTGGCTCATATATAACTTAAAATTTAAAAAATTGAACAAGTTTCAGCATTTATCTTCAAGTGAAACGAATTTAGAGTTCTACCGTATGAGAAAGTTTGAGAAAGAAAAACACGAATACTGAATTTTCAAATCTGGATAGCAAAAGTTTATACCATCTAAATATTTAACATGATGCAAAAGCACAATCTGTAGGTTGATTTACACCTAAACACATTTTACTGAACCTGAGCCCTTCTGCCATCTCAAAATTATATATCAAATAATATGTTAAAGTGCATAAGACCGACATAAAGTTCTTAACCTTCTGCCAACTCCAAATTATACATGAAATAATATTGGGTTCTTGACTCTTCACACAAATCCACATCCGCAGTGTATTTGGCAAAGGGGTACTAAGAAAGATGGGTTCCAAATGGACTGAATGGTGAAAGGAGATAAAGTGTTGAATACACTTAGCATACTTAAAGGTAGAAGTGGCAAACTCAACCCCGAACCCGTGAACCCCCCCAATTATACCCATTTAAAACCTGTTGAAATCTATTAACGGTTTTAAATGGGTTGCATCTTGTGAACCCAATTAAAATTGGGTTTAAACGGGTAACCGCCTACCACTGCCACCTCCTCCACCATTCGACCACCACCACCACCACCACCCAATTAAAATTTGCCATATTTGATTTTATTCTGAGGCTATCTGCCTTGGTGGATGCTCTAGCTCCTACTGCCACCATGGGAACAACTGATTAGACTCTTCCCCCCTTCACTCAGTTCTTCCAGTTCCAAGCCAGCTACATAAATTTGATTATCTTTCAAGCCTTAATAGTTTTATGCATTGCAATTGTATATTCTAATGAACTGTTTTTAGTTGTGGTGAGCTGATTGTAAACTACCACACTACCTCCACCACACCTTCACCTCCACCATTCCACTCCCACCACCACAGCCACCACACCCTCATTCTCTACCACTTTGCCTCCACCACCACCCCTCCACCATCACCACCTCCTCCACCACTCCTCCATCACCACCATTAGAAAAAGAGTTAAATAAAATAAATGGGCTTGTCGGGTTGATTTTTCCAACCCGTACACAATTCAACCCAACCGTTTAAACCCGTTTATTAAATGGGCGGGTTTAAATTGAGTTGTTTTATTGCACAACCTGTTTTGACCTGCCCTTTGCCACCTCTGCTTACAAGGATTTAGCATTATAGTGGAAGTGACATTTTCACATATTATAGAATGACAATCACACATGTCAGTTGGATGTTCTATATTAGAATCTACTTGTATCTTGATTGATGTTTATAATTATTTAGTTGCCTTTGTCATTCTTACCGTTATTGTCAAATTGAGATTCAAGTCATGAATGGGAATTTTTTTTATAGACCTCAAATCAAATTGAATTGTGTGTGATAAATTTGATTACAAGTCAAAAAAATACAAGGAAAATGCTATGTAGATTTATATGAGTATAAATCGTAATATAAAATGTAGGATATAGTAATCTTATAAAAACACAAAAATGTAGGATATAATAATCCTTAGTAGTAGGAAAATCTTGGGTGATGTTTCTTATTCAGAAATGTGATTCCACTCTCCCAAGTGAGAAATCCGTAAGAATTTATTCCCCCCCAAAAAAAGTGAGAAATCCGTAAGAAACTCGCTCCTGTTGAAGAATAAACTTGCTCTCAAGCGACATACAACACCTCAAATATACAAATCTCATGAAAACAAAAGAAACTTATGTATTACTCAAAAAAGATATTTTGGTACTTTCTATTTGTATAATATTTATTTATATTTAACAAAATGAGTTCGTAATTGACATCAATCTTCAATAATTGAACACATGTATTAGAACTAAGTAAAAAAAAAAAAAAAAATTGTTAGAATATATTTATATATTTAATATACAAAATATCCACACTCTCATGGGCACTTCCAATCTTTGAAACTTCTATATATCCTTTGTCCCCCTCCATGGTCCCTGTTCCCACTCCCACACCCATTGTTGCCTCCACTTTGCAATTATTATAGTGATTAATCACCTTGTCTAGTGAATAAGGCACTTGACATAGTTACCAATAATTTTCTTTAATTTTTCTGCACTTCTTGCGAGCACTTCTTGCAAAGATCCATTAAGATTGTCGACTTCAAGGAGGTGACTCTAGTTTTATGATAAGAAGAGAGTTAGACTTTGTTGCCAATTGAAGATGCAATACCTCACCTTAGCAAGTACATATTTTTAGTGTTTTTTTTTTTTTTTTTAAATCAAAAAGTCTAGAACATAGACACTCCAAAACATGTGCCCTAGTAGTGTCAGACATACGACACACTAGTTGATGTGTCCCTTTCCTTCATTAATTAATTATTTTTTTTGCCCCTCTTCTTTAGGCCCTGTTTGTTTACCGGATATGGGTGTGGGACCGGATATAATATGAGGTGGGTTCCCACATGTTTTTGTGTTTCCCCACCCACCGTCGGACGTAGCTCATCTTTCATCCAAAGGTAAAAAATAATCACTCTTCTTATTCTATCATATATCCTATCTTAACCAAACATAGTATAAGTAACCCCACAGTATATATAATTCATCTCATATTTTGGCCTTGTTTGGTTTGTGTTTCTTAAAAATTTTTGGGAAAAATTCTCTACAAATAAGTTTTCAAAAATAATCAAACCAAACAAATTTTCCTAAAAAAATTTCCCAAAACTTGTTTGGTTTACAAGTTTTCCAAACAAATCTCTCTCTCATACACATCAAATCAATCACTTTTTCCAAAACTCTCTCTCAAAATAATTTTCCAAAACATCTTTTAAAAAAAACCAAACCAAACAACTTTTTGTACTTTTTATCTCTAAAACTCATCTCTCAAACTCACTCATCTTTATCCTTTGGTATTACATATCCTCTTAAAATTCTTATATCCAATCCTGATAATCAAAAGGGGTCTTAGTGCTTTTGTTGAATGTTGAATATTGAATGTTTATTACTTTTTTTTCTTAGATTGTAATGTAATCAACTAATGATTCATTGGATGATAGCTTTTTTGTCTTTAAGTTAACTCTTATCATATTTCTCTCATTTATGGATGATCAATTAATTATGGGTAAATTACATTTACCTCCCTTGAGGTTTCTGACAAATACAGGGACCTCCCTTGTGATTTGAATAATTACAGTAACCTCCCCTGCTTTACCTGACAATATCAAGATTTCCCCATTCTGTTAAAATGCTCCAAACAGTGTTACTTTTTTTATGGTAAATTACCTTATTGCCCTTCCTTTTAAAATATTAAAAAATATTTTTGGATAGGACAGGTTTGGAAGAAACAAACAGCGTTTGGAATAGTATTTTTGGATTTATTTTTTTTAAATATTAAAAAATGTTTTAAAAAATTAATTTTTTTATTTTAAATATATAATTTTAATTTAAATATTTTTAAATATTTTATTTTATTTTGTAAATATTTTAATTTTTTTTAATTTTAATATTTTAAACTCAAAACACAACTTCACACTCAAATCATAACCAAACACATAACTAAAAACTCAATTTAAAAATTATTTTCAAACCTCATAACCAAACACATAACTCGACACTCTACACTACTTTCAAAACTCTATATTCAAATCGTAACCAAACACATAATAAAAAAATTAAAATATTTAAAAATATATTTATAAAATAAAATAAAATATTTATAATAAAAAAAATTATTTAAAATAAAAAAAAAATTCAGTAAAAATAAAAAAAAACACAAAAATTAAGAAGATAGAATTTTCTGAAAATTATTTTTGGAAAAACCTAACCAAAAATATAATTTTATCATAAAATTTTATAATATCAATTATAAAATATATAAATTTGTTATGAGTTAGAATAATAAAAAATATCATAATCAAATCACAAACTTTTATAATATTAACTACAAAATTATGAATATTTTACTATGATAATTTGTGGTGAGATTATATATTTTGTTGTTGATATTATAAAATTTTACGCCAATTTATGTTAACATGCATATAATATGCATCTCTAAGGGTGCACACTATAGGGTTTCGTAGTAGTTGAATTGCTTTGCAAGTTTTTGATTGCTGGGTATGTACAATACAAGAATATCTAGTTTGTTCTCATTTTTTAGCTAACATTATTGATATTCGCCATCTTGTTTTTATTGTTAGAAAAAGAAAACATGCTATATTAAAATTAATTTTGATGGATTCAAATTTCAAAATCACCAAGCAATTGGAAGCAATTCATGATGCCTCCCAGTTTTCCATTCGATTGATGCTTGTCATCCAAAGAACATAACTTTCGCATAATATTTTTTATTTTAAATATTTTATTTTATTTTATAAATATATTTTTAAATATTTTAATTTTTTTATTATGTGTTTGGTTACAATTTGAGTATAGAGTTTTGAAAGTAGTGTGGAGTGTCGAGTTATATGTTTGGTTATGAGATTTGAAAATAATTTTTGAATTGAGTTTTGAGTTATGTGTTTGGTTACGACTCGAGTGTGAAGTTGTGTTTTGAGTTTAAAATTAAAAAAATAAAAATATTTATAAAATAAAATAAAATATTTAAAAATATTTAAATAAAAATTACATATTTAAAATAAAAAAATAATTTTTTTTTAATATTTAAAAAAAATAAATCCAAAAATACTGTTCCAAACACTGTTTGTATATTTCAAACCTGTCCTCCAATCCAAAAATATTTTTTAATATTTTAAAAGGAAGGGCAGTAAGGTAATTTACTATGAAAAAAGTAACACCGTTTGAAACAATTTGACAGAAGAGGGAATCTTGACATTGTCAGGTAAAGTAGGAGAGGTTACTGTAATTATTTAAATCACAGAAGAGGTCCTTATATTTGTCAGAAATCTCAGGAGAGGTAAATGTAATTTACCCATTAATTATTTAAATCTAGTGGGTGAATTTTTTTTTTATTTTTTTGTTTTTAAACTACTGTAAGTTTTTGTTAATTTGATTTTTTGTGATTGTAATATTAATCTACATAGTAAATAATATATATTAAAAAATATTTTTTATTGTGTCCTATGTCCTTGCCCTTAATTTTTTAAAATCACCGTGTCTCTATATATGTGTCTATATCCCAAACAGTCATCAAAAAGTTGTTTTTTCTTTGGTAGTTTTTATGAGCACAGTTTCTCTTCCTTTTGGACATGTGACAATAGTTTTCTTTCCATGTTAGGAATTTGATTTTCTACAGAACAACTTACCTAACAAATATTACATATACAATTAATCTTTTTATTTCATTTACTAGTTTCTAGGGACAATTTCTAAATGACCGGGAACATTCTTTGCTAGTTTTACAAAAAAAAAAAAATTATTATAAGTTATAACCCAAAAGGTCTGAGAAACTCCTCGGCTAACTTATTATTAGGAATTTGATCTTCTACAGACCAACTTACCTAACAACTACTACATATATAATTATTCTTTTTTTTATTTCACTTACTGGTTTCTAAGGACACTTTCTAAATAACCAGGAACACTCTTTGCTAGTTTTATTATAACCCAAAAGGTCTTTGGATAACTTATTTTGAATTAGTTAGGGTTCTGAGGTGAATTTTTTGTATGAAAAACAATGGTTTCAATTCACAGTAATGCAAATAACCTTGGTTCCATTTCAACTGACATGATTGTTTTAAACCAAGTTGTTTTAATTCAAATTAATCAAGCATCGGGAAAACCCACAGATGCAAACAAACTGTTAGCAATAAGATTGAGTACATGACCGTCCAATCTCGCTTGTACTTTCCCAATCTCCACTAGTTGTTGTGTCAACCACACAATCACGCTCTAGCTCTCCAATTGTTTGATCCAAAGGGAACAGTGTGCTATCCTCAACAATGATTGTGCAAATTAAATCTATATGAATGCAATAACCATACTCACTTGATATAACCCCGACCTTTGGAAACTCTTAGGAATATGAGAGTAACGAGTATGGACTATATGAAGCTCTCCTAAGTTCTCCCAAATAATCTATGTGCACAATATTCAATGTATACAATTTGCTATATAGAAGTCACAAAGACCAATATACATATAGACAAAGTGAAAATTCAAGGGAACAAGGAAACAAGAACCAACAAGGTTTCTGTTCCAGAGATGCATTCCAAAGGAAAACAAGCTGCGTTGGAACAGTACGTCAGTGTGTTCAAATGGTGAATACATTGCTTCACTTAATGCTTAAAAAACAAATCCAGAATACCGTGCATTTGAACTGATCAGCCTTGTGTTCAAATGCATGGAGTTTCCATTCAAATGCGAATGGTGTTTTGATATGACCTTTGTCATCAAATTTGTCTTTTTTCTTTTCAATCTGCACTTTGGCTCAGAATTTCTGTACTTGAATCTTCAACTATGGATTTTCCTCATTGACTCAACTGAGCTACAACTAAATAGTACAGACTCTATGGAATGAAATTGTCATAGCAAAATTGACCAGGGTTCAACTCATTTTTCCTAACAAGGTCCTACAGAGGTAATTTTGTGGTAATCAAAATTAGAAGACTACTAAATCACATGAATGGTCTTTGAATCGTGAATTATGAGATTCTTATGATTCACATAGATTTATTAAAATTATTGACAACATGTGATTCAACCTGGGGATTCATTTAAGAACGAAAATTAATTGTTGCCTAAGATTTAAATTGGTAATTGTAAGATTCTAACAACTATGTGAACGGACAAATCTCGAATTTCAAATGGACCACCTTTTGAGCTTTATATAGCCAAGAACTATGATTAGGTTAACTTGAGTCTTGTTTTTACTTATTTTTTAAGTTAGAATGCTACTAGACTGATTTGTTTATGCTTACTTTAGCAATTTTAAGTTTTGCTGAAAATGGAATGTAGAATTGATTTATGGGTTGTGTTACTGTCAAATATTGTTGCTGGGAATATGGAGCTTGTATAAGAATATTCTATTTGTTAAAAAAATTGTGGTTTCCTAAATTGCGAATCATTTTCCTAATATTATTGGGAGAGCCTAACAATCATAAATATGAAGTTTTCAAGAATTTATATGAAGTTTTTTGTGATTTTGTTTGGTGCTTTGTATGACCTTACATTAGGGGGTTGTTCCTAGAAAATCTAGATGGAATTTCTAGAGTTTTCTTCTTCGTCTTCACCTTTAATTTTGATTTTAGTGATTTGTATTGCCATCTCAAATTTCTGTTAGAATCTTCTTTAGTATTCTAGTCAGATATATTTATCATGTTCCTATTCAACAAATTCCATTTATCTAATAAATGTTGGTTTTGTTCTTTCTAATTCAGCCATATCTTCATGAATCGCGACACCAACATGCTATGAGAAGGGCAAGAGGTTGCGGAGGTCGTTTTCTTAATTCCAAAAAGCTCGATAGTAATGCCACCAATCCTTCTGCCAACTTATCGGGCTCCGATCACTTGCCCTTGAACTCTAACAGAAATTCTGGTCATCGTGAGAAGGAACTACCCATGTATCAAGACATGCACGGTGCACACAAATCCTCAAATGGAAACAACATAAATGGTCATGGTTTGTCTATGCACCATTATTCGCAGTCGACTGACAGTGATGGGGGAGACTGGTTTGATCAAGAGGAGGGGAGCGTGCTGGTGAGTCAGGCTCCACGTGGGCCCACTACCACCAAATGAGAAGCGTTTGGGGATGGCAGGCCATCCTTGTTGTTCAACTCTTCTCAGGCAAATCATTCTTGGCTTTGGTTACTTTAGTGTTATGTTTGATAGGGGTGAAGCTAGGGAAGGGATGTATATGGCAGAACTTGTACTGTTTTCCGTCTGCCATTATGTTTGCTTCTTGTTGCAGCTCTCAACCTGTTTGTAAATTAAGGTCTGTAGCAGTAGTAATTGTGAATTTGAAATACCTCTTTTGTTTGAAACAATAATTTACCTTTCATACCACAATTCTCAGTCCTGTTTAACAGTGTGATATTTTAGTTTTAATTTAGTGGTTTTTATGGTTACTCCCGGATAGAGTGAATTCAAATGAACTGACTGTGTGAAACAACAGGCATATACCACAATTATATTTTAGGTTTTAACACTGAATTCAAATGCTGCCCTTGTTAATAAACTCCTGAAAAATGTTGTAGAAATTCTGGATTCTTTTAGGGTAAATTACAAATATTACAAATACATACTCTGAGATTTGCTTAAAATACAAATTGTCCGTTGTGATTTGCAAAATTACAAATATTTCCTTGTCAGTTTTTTATTTAACATAATTAATTTAAAAAATGAAATTCATAATTGTCCTCCTATACAATAATAAAATTATTTAAATTATCAATTGAAACATATTTTTAATATCATTTAAAGCTGTTAATTGATTTTATGATTTATTAATAAAATGGGTCATTTGTTATGAAATTAGAAATCTCAAGAGGTGGAATGTAACTTCTAGAACTATAGGGGACAATTCGTATTTTAATTAAATCTCGGAAAGTGTATTTATAATTTACTTGTTCTTTTATCATAATTTCAAGAGTAAATTACAAATATATCTTTTGAGATTTACTTAAAATATGAATTTTCTTATGATTTGGAAAATTCTAAATGTCCCATTGTCAGTATTTTTTATTTAACAGAATTAATTAAAAGAAATAAAATTCTTAACTGTTGTCTTATATATTGATAAAATTACCTGAATTATTAATTGAAATAAATTTTTGATATCATTAAAATTTGTTAATTGATTTGATTATTTATTAATAATAGGGGTCATTTGTTATGAAATTAGAAATTTCAAGGGGTAGGATGTAATTTCTAGAATTACTGGGAGTAAATTATATTTTAAGCAAATCTGAGAAGGTGAATTTGTAATTTATCCTAATTTCAACTACTTGTTTTTTTTTTTTTTTTAGATAGGAATTTCAACTACTTGTTAATGCTCACAATTTTTTTTTTTTTCAACAATAAATGTATGATTACTATTTTTTAAAATCTTTTAATTTTCCTTCTAAATATTCAATTTGATCTTAAGGCATCATTATCAAGTTTATTAAAGCCTTCTCTTAACTCTTTTATAGCACAAAACTATAAAACCATACTCTATCAAATTCAATTCTTAGCTAGCTATTTTAGTTTAACATCAAACTATCCGGTACATGTAGTTAGGAAAAGATGACTCAACAAATGAAATAAAGAATAAAGAGTTTGTTAGAGAATGTATTTGAAAAGATGATTAACTAAAATAAAAAAATAGACTCTTAGTTAAAATTTAACTAAAATTTTGACAATTTTGATGGAGACGCTCTTATATCACCATTTTTTTTTAATTCTCATAATATATTTTTAATCATATTTCGTGTTTCATTTCTCATATTGATATCTATGCTAATTTCTCTTAGAAATACCTATATATAAAACTTATGCACTGATGGGTGCATCAAAATACTAAAAACTTCCTTTATGCTTCCTCTCATGTTTAAAATGAACTTTAGGCTTAAATTTTTTTAGAATGACTCTTATTCTTCTTCTTCTTCTTGTATTATTATTTTTTTAAAGATATAATTTTCTTCTATCTTTTGATTGTATTTTCTTTTCCTCCTTGTTTCACATGGTAGCAAAACCCAAATCAATGTGCTAAATAGACCCTTAAGAAAAAAAAACAAAAATATAAAAATTCTACTAAAATTTCTACAAAATGTCTCACATTGGGTTGATGTGGGTCCCATACACATATAAGACATGTGATAAAAATGTTAATAAATTTTTTAAAATCTCTATCATTACTCGAAAAAAATACAACATTAAAAACAGCTGTTAAAGATGTAATAATTATTAATAAACACTCTGCCTAGCCTAGTCCCATTCTATATCCATAAATGCAGCTAATACTTGACCCCTTCGATGTAGTTTTATGGAGTGATTTTTTTTTTTAAATTTTTTTACTAATTTTTGGTACAATTTTTGTCTACAATTTATGAAAAGAATAATTTAAATAAGAAAAGGGTGGTAAGAAAAATCGATAAAATCAAATTAATTGCTTTGAGACTAACTAAAATTTTGATTTTTGATAAGATATGATTGTTTTGATTCCAAATTTTTTACACTGATTGTAATGAACCCAATTGAACTAGTTAAAATGTTATATTTAAATACTTATTATATTATAATTCTTTAAGTATTAAAACAAAGTAAATTACGCTTTTTTGCAATAAAAGTTAGGAAGTGAGACATTTATAAAGTAACTTTTACCACTTCTCTTAAGTTATTCGTAACTTTTTATAAAACTCTTAAAACTTCCGGTTAATCCTTTATTTACATTAAATTACACTTTGTCCCCTTTCTTTAGTCATTTTCTCACTTTGGCTCTTGAATTTTTTCCCTCCCGCTTTGATCCTTCACGTTAAGTTTTTTTCAATTCACTCCTAAAGGTAACTTATATTCAAACTTAGATAGAAAATACCACGTTAGCTGTCACATGATATAAAAAAATAGATAAATTATAAATACACCCCTTGAAATTTGTTGAAAATACAGATTGTCCCTGTGGTTTGTGAAATTATAATACTTCCTTTATCATAATTTTTTATTTAATAGAATTAACTAAAAAATAAAATTTCTAACAAGTCTTTTATACAATAATAAGTTAGAGTTCAACAAATAACACACATGAATCCAAACAAATTCAAAGGCACATCATTGTGTACCCAAACAAAAAAAGAAATGTTCTTATGGACCTAAACAAAAAAGGCCTTTGATCTATGGCATGAGCACCTCTTGTAAAACACTATATAATGTAGTAATATCATGTTTCTAAAATTATTATAAATATTAAGGAAAAATATTAGAAATAAAAAATAGTGAAATTAATCACAAATCAGCAAAAGTTTTCATATATAAAAGGAAAATTGGTCTAACATCCTTTTCCAACTTTTAGTAAGGGGGGGTGGTCCACAATAATTTTTTTTGTAGTCTAAGGTCCCTCAAAATTTATGAGTTCATCGGTGAGACGAGAGACCAAAGTCCACTTGACGAGATCTAAATGCTCAAACAATGAATTCACTTCAAAAGCTACACTGATTATGTAGTCAAAACAAATTAACCAAACAAAGACTAAATATGAAGCCCTAGAACTCTAAAATTCTCAGAAACCTCAAGTGTTTACTTCGAATTGTACACTCATGGTACACCAAACACAAGAATTTCTTCACCCAGAGAGAGAGAGAGGAGGGGGGGGAAATAACTAAGGTCTGAAATGTAGAAGAGGGTTGAGAAAAGCTTAGAGATGAAGGAAATTCCAAACAAGAAAAGAAAAGGAAGAGTTGTTCGAGAGAATTCCTCTGGAGAAAATTTTCTCTAGAGGGACCTTAGACTTTTGCCCTCACTGCCTTCCCTCTCATCGCACTCACCCTCTACTTCAGGTATATATCTATATATATAGTCACTCATTATAATATCATCATCACTTTCTTCCTCCCCAAGCTGCTACCATATCCATCTTGTTTCTTTAGTAATCTTTTTTATGTTTCTTCAATTTCGGACAATCTATCTTGATGTGTCCAGGATTTTTACACTCATAGCAAATAATAGGCTCTTTCTTGTTATGTTTGTTGTACTCTTTCTTGAAAGGTCTTCTTCCTCCATAATTGTTTTTCTTGAAGTGCTTTTTGAGATTTCTACTAAGCATGGCATAGCTTTCATCCTCACTAGAGTTTTCATGTTCTTCTTCATTTGATGAGGCTTTGAATGCAATTCCACTTTTCTTTTTGTTTTCAACATCCTCATGTCCTTTCATGGTGATCTCAGGAGTCGTAAGGGAACCCATAAGCTCATCTAATCCAAGTGTGGAGAGATTTTTGGCTTCTACAATGGTCGTGACCTTTACTTCCCAATTCTTTGGTAAACACCTACGAATTTTTCTCACCAACTCACTGTTAGTATAAGTTTTGCCAAGAGATTTCATAACTCATTGTTAGTATAAGTTTTTCCAAGTGATTTCAAAGAATTTGCAATTTCAGTAAAACTAGTAAACATGCTTGAAATAGATTTATCAGATTTCATCTTAAATAATTCATAACTATGAACAAGCATGTCAATATGAGATTTTTTAACTTAGTTGGTTTCTTCATAAGTAACTTCAAGTTTGTCCCAAATTTCTTTGGCAGTGTTACAATCAGAAATTCTGTTGTATTCTTTGGAATCTAATCCACAACTAAGGGTGAGTTTGGCCTTAGCATTTGCTTGTAATAGTCTTTGATCTTTTTCATCTCTCTTTTTCGGTTTTAGTTATGCTAATATTGTCTACTAATTTGGTCAGGATTTTAGGCCTTCAGTGACAATGATCCATAGGGCATAATCCGTGGCTTGAAGATATGAGGTCATCTTTTCTTTCCAATGGCCATAGTTATTACCATCAAACAAAGGTGGTCTATTTGTTGCTTGCCCTTCTACAGTGGTTGCCATAGATCAAAACTCAAAGATGGTCAAGTCTTATACAAGAATTTAGGCTCTGATACCAATTGTTACCCAAAAGACAACCTACAAGAGTCTAGGCTTTGATACCCAATTGTTACCCAAAAGACAACCTAAGAGGGGAGAGTTAGAGGGGAGGGTTAGAGGGGAGGGTGAATTAGTTTCTACAATTAAAATGCTAACAATTACCTAATAAAAATTTAAACACGAACAACAAATATAGCAAGTATATCTGATGGTAAGAAGAAGTAGATTATGGCAATGAATGTATTTGAAATATTATATTTGAAAAGTAAATGAAGGTTAGATGATTAACACAATAATATCAGATAGTTATGGAAAATGAATTTTTAATAAAATATCAGTTGGCTATAGTAGAAAGGTGAAGAACTTGAGATGAACTCAACAACAGATAAAAGTATCAACTATAGCAGTAAATGAAATGTAAAGAGATAAGGGAAGTGAAGACAAATAGATTTATAGTGGTTCAGCTTTAACCAAGCTTACATTTACTCCTCAAGCTTCACTTGAGATTTTTCACTATTTCTCTAGCTTCACAGGGGTACTAACAACCTCTTCAAAAATAGAGCAATCCTCCACAAAATTTACACAGGCTTTACAAGCCTTCAGAGCCTTGAAATCCTCAGATGATTCTCAATCACTCTCAAGGTTTCAAGAACACTGTGTGTACTACACTCTTACAAATTGATATGGTGTTTTTGCTTTCAAGGAAAGCTGTAATGAAACTCTCTCAAGAAATATTACAAAGATTGAAGTTTTGTGTTATATCATTTAAGAGACCTGTCATAGGTAAATGGGCTTAAAGCTAAAGCTCAAGATAATTTCTGAGGAAAGAGGAAATACAAATGAAGAACACTTCAGAAGATGATGAAAGATGTGATTGATGAAGAATGAAGAAAATGTTTTGCGCGTTGCATCTTCTTGTGCTTTGCAGCAGTGCTATGTTTTGTGCGTTCCATCTTCTTGTGCTTTGCAGCAGTGCTCAGAGCTCTGTTATATACAAAGTTTAAGTGCTCTGTTAAATCTGACAGAGCCCATTCTTTTCCTCCTGTTGAGTGATGGGTTGGTGATGGCTAAGGATGATATATAATTGAATTCTCAGAGTATCTCTATCACCCATGTGTGTTTTATAGGTCACTGAGCCAAAAACCAACACACAACATCTTCTGATAGATGCTGCTTTGAACAGAGGGACGTCCACCCGGATGTCCTGAGTGAAGTTTTGTTCTTGAGGGACATTCGCCCGGATGTTTGCTCAGATGTCCGGTCATATCCCGATCGTGAAGGGCGACTTCCGCGGTCATCGAGCATATTGCCTGTTTGACGTCTAGAGCGAAGCAAAATTGAACAGAATCAAAACTGGGCCAAAATGCCATGGTCGGTCGTCCGCTCGGACGTCCGACCCCTTGTGGGCTTGACTACTGCTATTCTCCTGTTGTTCCATGCTTCATTCACCATCTGTTTAAGCTCATATTTGATCTCAAAAACAATGAGATTGGATTAATGACATAGATTAATTTTAATATATGAATCATCTTGCACAGGCTCAAACATAATCAATTAGTAACAAAAAGATTCAGATCATCCAATTAGTGATCATTTTGAGCTTCAGACACATGATTAGTATGAGGAATGAAATGAGATGGTTAAGTCTATTAATCATGTTTTCAAAATCATTTTAAGATAAATCAAAACATTTAAATAAACATCATAAAAGTATATAATATCTAACAATCTCCGCCTTTTTTTATGATGACACACCAAGATGTTTTGATTTGTATAAAATGAGGAAAGCTCCCCCTGAAGTCATGCTCCCCTTGAATGTTTGCTTAATAGAATGTTAGCTCAAAAGCAATAGAGATCAGTTTAAGTAAAAGTGAACATAAATTAGATTAATTAAAGTTACTTGTTCACAACTTACTAGAATTAGAAAATTTATGTCTTATGTTCCTAAGGAAAAGCGAAAAGATCACCAAAACAAAAAAGATCGCCACATTTTCTTCCCTTGTGACATTATCAAAAGCAATATAAGAAATGGAGTTCACAAGGTATCATCAGGTGAAGGTGGAGGTGGAGGTGGAGGATAGAAGTGCTGATAGATGCCATCAACGTGGCTCTCCATATGATCAATGCGGGTGTTCAAGTCACTGAGTTGCTGAATCAAAAAGTGTTGAGCTTGCTCGAAATCCGCTAGTTGTGTGGATGTTTGTTGTTCCCATTGAAGGCACTGATTATAACATTCTTGTTCCATAGCCATAAAATCTGTCCAATATGCAGGAGGTGGAGGCTGTTGCGGTAGTGGCATGGTATTTGGATTCTGTTCTTGAGGATCCTCTATAGGTGCATCAAGGACATGCAAGTTGCTATGCAAAACATCACTTTCTCTAACCCGGTTGATAGTATATTCACTTATGTCAGAGGCTATTTTGGAGTCATGCTCATTTGAAAAACTGATGTTGAAGTGTTCTAAAATTTTGGTTAATAGGGTTCCAAAAGGTAAAGATTTGTCACGAGAGTATGCGACAATATGATGACCAACCTCAAAACAGTATAACAGAACATCACAATGGCTGGCCTTAGGAGTGACATTTTCTAATAAAAATCTATGGAGAATGCGAAGATGGGGTTTGAGGTGTTTGGCAAGTAAATGGGAGCCAGTGGTTTTGCCAGTGCATATAGTAGAATAAACTTCAGTAATACAACCAACTCGTTGAGCTATTTGTTCATCAATTTGAAAGTAATGTTGTTGATCACCTAGCTCAACCCCAAGGATTTGTGCTAAAGTGGGAACATCAAACTCAATAAATTTTCCTTTGACATAAGAGTCAAGGGTGAAGTTGTCCTCTTCTTCGTGTGAGTGCTTGAGGTGTAAGTAAAAGAGAGAGACAAGGCAAGGATAACAAAGGAATATGAGGAATATGAGGAAAAAATTAACCGATGGAGTGGACCAACTTGATAAATTTACCAAAAATTTACCAAACATAACAAAGGAATATGAGGAGGTTGACAAAAATTAACTCAAGTTATGTTGAACACTATAAAAAAAAATTCTTGTGCCATGAACCGATGAAGTCAGAGGGAAAAAAAAAAAAAGGCACTGAGGATTTAAGGATTAAACACATCACAAAAAAGATTGAAGTGTTTAGAATTATTGCAAGTTATGTGAAATAAAGTGAAAAAAATTGATTTTACATCTTTTGGCATGAACTTGTCATAGTAGAAGTGGAAAAAAAAAATAAGCTTCGGATTTGTTGTTCATATAAACCTACTTCTTCTATATGTTTTTTCAAGAGGAAAAATTGATACTATGCTTTTTATTAAGTCTAAAAATCATGATATCTTACTTGTGCAAATATATGTTGATGACATAATTTTTGGAGCAACTAATAAATCTTTGTGTAAAAAATTTGCTCAAGTTATGCAAGGTGAATTTGAAATAAGCATGATAGGGGAGTTAAATTATTTTCTTGGACTTCATATCAAACAAAGTAAGGAAGGAATCCATATCAACCAAGCTAAGTACATAAAGGAACTACTTAAAAGGTTTGGTATGAATGAATCAAAAGTAGCCACAACACCAATGAATACTTCCAATAAGCTAGACAAAAATGAGAAGGGTAAGTCCATTGATCAAACAAAATATCGAGGTATGATTGGCTCAATTCTCTATTTAACTGCAAGTAGACCCGATATTGTGTTTGTTGTTTGCATATGTGCAAGATTTCAATCTTGTCCAAAAGAGTTTCATCTCACTGTCGTTAAATGTATTTTTCAATATCTAACCGACAATCCTAAATTGGGTTTGGATTTATTTTATCCTAGAGGTGTATTATTTGATTTGATTGGTTACTCGGATGCCGACTTTGCCGGATGCAAACTTGATAGAAAAACTACTAGCACTTGTCACTTTTTGATAACTCATTAGTATCTTGGTTTAGGGAAAAGTAAAATTCTGTTGCTTTATCAACGGCTGAAGCTGAATACATAGCTTCCGGAAGTTGTTGTGCCCAAGTTCTATGAATGAAACAACAATTAGATGATTTTGACTTACATTATGATTATATCCCTATTAAATGTGATAATACTAGTACTATCAACTTAAACAAAAATCCGGTTCAACACTCTGAAACAAAACATATTGAAATTTGACACCAATTTTTAAAAGATCATGTTCAAAAAGGGGATATTGCTATTAAATTTGTAAACACTGACAGCAATTGACAGATATTTTCATAAAATCCCTAAGCAAGACATGCTTTAATTTTATTCGTGGCGAATTTGGAACGTCGAATTCTACATATTGATTTTGTTGAGATTGCAAAATTGAAGTTTTACTCAAATTGAGGAATTAATACTATTGCATTAATTTGGAATCATAAATATCAGTTGAATGCTTTCAAAATACTCATACATTTTTACTCAAGTATTGTTTGTTGCATTTTTAACACTTAAAAATTTCCAGATTTGTATCTGTCCTTAAAACTCATCCAGCTACCTAATTTTCTTTCAAAACTTGTTTCCTACACTAGCAGATTCATTTCCTTCACTTACCATACATATTGAGTTACATATACCTACCATACTTGTTATGCTCTTAAATCCTCTGGCTGAATTATTGGGCCTGTCATATACATTTATACGTTGTGTATGTCACATAAATTAGCCCTAGCCACTTTTAAGCAACCAGCACAGGAGCTCCGCAGCACAGGAGATTTTTTACCGAGCCAGTTGTCTGGGAGGACAACTTGGTGGTCGACCGGTGGCCACCTGGGCAGATTTTAAAAGCCCCAAAACCGACTGCTTCTATTCCTGTTCTTTTCTCTGCTTCGTCTATGTAAACCCTAATCTCCATATCGCTCAAACTCCATCTGCCAAACCCTCTAAAAACTCAATCTCTATCAATTTCTTGTGTAAACTAAGGTAAATCTCTGTATTTTCATTGGTTTCTTTACCTTAACCCCTTGATTTTGCTTTAGATTTAATGTTTTTTTCTTTTGGGGTCATACATCCATATGTGGGTTTGTTCCAAACTGATTAATGGTCATTTTATTCTTGATTGATGATTATTCTTGAAATACTTCCATGATTTTGTTCAAAAAGCTTGATGTTGTTCATATTCTTGCCAAATACTTCCATGTCTCACAGATTGTTCATACTTAAGCTCTGTCTTGAATCTTTTTTTATTTTTATTTTTACTGAAATTTGTGGGTACTAAATCTAAATTCTATAACACTGTAGCATAACTCTGAATTTTTATTCTGAATTTTTTTTGGCTCTCACAGGTTCCTGCCAAAAGTAGTTTTTTATTTTTTTATTTATAAAAAAAACTAAGTCTTTCTCTGTTAATCATGTGAACACTAAATCTGAAGTCTATATATTTTTTTGACTCTTGCTATCACAAGTTCATGCCAAAAGAAGTCAAATCAATTTTTTTTTCACTTTGTTTCACATAACTTGCAATAATTCTGACCATTTCAATTTTTTTTTTGTGCTATGTTTAATCCTTTGTTTCACAGGTTCCTGCCAAAAGTAGTTTTTTTTTTGTTTCACATAACTTGCAATCAATTTTTTTTTGCTCTCTCTCTGATTTCATCGGTTCATGGCACAAGATTTTATTATTTTTTTTGCTGTGTTCAACATAACCTGAGTTAATTTTTGTTAACTTCCTCATATTCCTTTGTTATGTTTCATCCTTAAATAGTTCTATCAACCTCAGCGCCTATTGGTCATTGATTTAACATTGATTTCTTCATAGTGGCGGCCTTGCTTATTCATTCTCTAGCTGTTCCTTGATAGGAAAATCAGATCGTGGCTCCTAGAACCAAAAAGCCTAGAGCTAGAGAGGCCGGACAGTCATCAAATCCCGGGCTAGGTTCTCTTTTGTGTAACATAATGATTCTTCAAACTTTCATTTACAGAAAATTGTCTAGTTAAGATTGCAAGATTCCATCAAAGGGATTCTGTTAATCCATTCAACATAATTTGAAGAAAAATTTGATCTAGTTACCTAATTGGTTTGTTATCATACAAAGTGGTTTGTTTTTTACAAAAATTGTATATACACTTAAATTCAATCATATTCAAGATTTACATTTACGAATTAGATTAAATTTCAATCATATTCAATATTTATCTTTACTAATCAGATTCAACATATATATATATCCTTAGTTTTGTTTTGAATTTTTTTCTTTGTGGCTCGGACATACACAGAGGCATATATATACATCTATATATATGTTATCTTCAAAACCCATATTGATATGTTGTGTAGCAACTCCAGCACCACCCTCCACCTCAACTGTGGGAGGCCAAACGTCTCGTGCACAGAAAAACAGAGAGAGAGGCCAAACACGTGGTTTAGGTGAGGAAAATGGTTGCAATAATTCATCAAACACCTGGTGTGCAGCCCAAATAACTCTTCTCTAGCATTGGTGGAAGCTATCGAAGCCATCATGAACTGAGTGGAGGGGGTGTGGTGGGTGGCTTTTGATGGAGGTGGTGGAGGGGGAAGGGAGGATTGCTGGTTGGTAATAGTGATGGGGCTGGGGTGGTGAGGTTAGGGGAAGATGTAGAGAGAGTAGAGAGACCCAAACCCACCTCAATGATTCAGAGTAGCTGCTACTGTGCACTCCTTGCCATTGAAATGTGAAGCAGAGCTCTACCTTCTCAGTTTTTGCAATGTGAACTTATGGAATGGAGTGGAGGTGGTTGTTGGGGAGTGGAACCATGGAGTGAAGTTTAGAGAGTGATAGCTGAGTGAAGATGGGGGGATGGGATTATGTGCGGTGATGTCTGTGATAAGAGATGAGTGTTTTATTTTGGAATTTTTAGTATTTTTTATGGAAGGGTATGTTTGTCATTTAGTAGCAATGTTAATGCCATCAAAGCCGACAGGGGTAATTGTCGTTTTAGAAACCACAATGAAGGTCCTGTAATTGTAAGATACCTCAGGGGAGGTCCGTGTAATTAACCCTCATTTATTTGGTGCTTTCTTATTTTTTATGGAAGGGTATGTTTGTCATTTAGTAGCAATGTTAATGCCATCAAGCCGACAGGGGTAATTGTTGTTTTAGAAACCACAATGAAGGTCCTGTAATTGTAAGATACCTCAGGGGAGGTCCGTGTAATTAACCCTCATTTATTTGGTGCTTTCTTCTGCTTTGCTGTTGTACTTCCCATATCCCAGTGATGAAATATTTAGTAATCAGAATTTGTGCATGAAATTTGTGAAAAGTTGGTGCTCCCTTTTGCTAGCTTATACTGCAGAGGTAGAGGAACCATGATTTCATGCCAGGTTGAAACTAGGCATTCAGAGGGATATATTTCTATTTAATCTTAGTCTGTACCTGGGTTGCTAATTTGTTCTTTTCGAACTATTGTTGGACAACATATAAGCATTTAGGTGTCATTTTATTACATCGTCAGTTTTTTGTTTTCAAAAACAGGAAATAAGGTTTTTGTTTGTTTTTGTTTTTTTCCATGAAAAACAAAAATAAAAATCCTGTTTGGTGGTACACAAATGTTTTGAAAATAAATTAATGTAAAAATAAAGAAGCATGTTTGGTGAGTTGCTGGAGGGGTGGGGGTGGCGAGAGGAGGTTGCGTAAATTGGTGGCTAGAGTGTTACCACTGGACGTCATGGCTGTGAGTCTGTGACCATCCCATCACTGAAGCCCGTCATAGAGCTGATGGAAGATGGCCAAAGTTTTCTGGAAACCACCCACACCCCTGTATCCAACAATTCCATTCCACTATGTGTGTATAATTATAATATACTACAAGGGTAAGCACATATAGTCGGTGTTTGGGAAGTGAGTTTTTATGTAGTTTTTTTTAGTTGTAGGATATTATTGGAGAAAAAAAATTTTGTGTTTGGGAAGATAGTTGGGTTTTTTTGTGGTTGGATGTGATGTTTGTGAGAGAAAAAGTGAAATGATTATGGGGTTGGATGTGATATTTTGTTTGGATGTGTTTTTTTTGGTTTTGCAAAAAGTTTGTCTTTTTGTGAAAAAAATCAAAAAAAACCCAAGTCCCAAACTTCCCAAACACCACCATACATGTGCAATTGAAAAGATCATGTTTGTGCTATGAAATTTACAATCCAACCCATTGTGTTTTTTTTGTTCTTTTCGATATAATAAATTGAGTCAGGCATAATTGCTCTTGTTTTTAAGTAACTGTTCTTGTGGCCATTTTCAGAAATCAACAAAATGTTACATGTCTATACCAACTTGGTTGTAGGCTTTTATATAATAGTATAGATATCTCCTATCTTCCCCCATTATTCTCTCTGTCTCTCTACAACTCTAATTTTCTAGTGATCAAATGTTGCAGTGCTAGCCAAGGCCTTTGGTGATGGAGAGAGAAGGTGGATGGTTCAATGCTGAGCTAGCACCCAATTGTCCAAGGTGTGCCTGCTCAAATTCAGAGTTCTGTGCATGAGGCTTTGTGCGACCAGATTGAAGAGGTGAAGGCAGCAATGGGGAGAATTGGAGAAACAGTTTGATCTTGTTGTGCCAGACATGAACAAGTGGGAGGTGCATTCTAGAGGATGAGGTGCATTCTCTTTTACTGTGATTGTATAAATAATTTGTAGTTTGTTTCTTATATAGAGGAGTTGGGACACCATTCTTAGGTTGTTTATGTACTGGATGTAGTCATGAAATAACATGGCAGTAGTTACTCTCTAAAATTTTTGTATGGGATTTAGTTGCAGTGGCATCTCATATGGGTGACCTACAATATTCTTGAGAACATTATTATTGTGATTAGTTATTTATTTAGTTTTATATCGGTGCTTCCACCATTAAAATCATCTCAAGGATTCAAGGGTTTGGTCCATTACAGTTGAGTTTGTATTGAAATGTTTTTGGCTTGTAGCAATCTGGAAATTTGTAGTGGATGAAGAAAACAATGAGATTTTACCAGGGAATACTGGATTCTCTATCTCACTCCAGTGTTTTAAATCACTTTTTATTTTTATTTTTATTTTTATTTTATCACACAATCTGCCTGACTTTGATTATGTGGTAGAGGGAGTAGGTGTGAGAGTTTAACTGAATGAAACCGAACCCACTGAACTCAACTGAGCTAAAAAAAATGATTTTCTGTTTTATTTTCCTTGTGTTCAGTAAGTTTTGGAAATGCTTAAATTTTACTAGAAGTGTCCATTTCAGTTGAGCATTATACCTCCTAACCGAAACCTACCCTCCTCTTCACTCCCTTCTTCGTTCACTACATCAGAAACCTTTGAAAATGACACTAAAAGAGACTTCTTTTTATTTTATTTTTTTACCAAAGGTTTTTGGCTTTTAGCAATCTAGAAATATGTATTTCATAAAGAAAATAATGAGATTTTACCTGATAAATTGGTTCTTTATCACTCTCCCATTCTCCCATGTTTCAAATCACTTTTATTTATTTATTTATTATTATTTTTTTTTATCACACAATCTATCTAATAACCATGATTATGTGGCAGAGGGAGTTTGGAATAGGATCTACTACATTTATGTTAGGTATTTGGAGAATAATATGGGGCGTATACATTTGTGATTCGTGGAAGGTACTGCCACGTGATATTCTATTGGCATACAAAAATTTCTCCCTTCCATGCTCCATCTTCCTTTCTGATGCCCTTACCTCCTTCCGAACATTTTCCCACCCTTCATTCCCTCCCAAAGCTCCTTCTCCTTTCCCTTTCCTCCTCAAACCTTAACATAGAGATATGGAGATAGAGATAGAGCAGGGGGGTTGGGGTCGTGGTAGAGGGAGCAGGGGAGTGCCATGCAGTGTGGGGAGGGCTAGAGAGTGGTAGGCAAAAGTAAGAACAGGCTGAGGGGTAACAGAGGGAGTTAGAAAGGGTGGACATAGGATTGGATCAACGCCCCCGTAACACCACATTGCCGAATAGTGTGGTGATTAATAGTGAGTGCATACAAATCAAACCATCCCGTTTTCTTTGTGATTTTTTAACTAAAAGAGTTAAAAAAATTAAAATATCTCATTATACATATCAATCAATTACTTTTGTTCCTTACAACTATCTGTTTAATTAAAAAAAATTAAAAATATACTAACTTTTTTCATCTCATAAAAAATATTTTTAAAAAATAAAGTCAAATTAGCAAATGGAAATCAACCCTTTATTGACGTCTAAAAGGCATAGTTCAAACATTGAGGATTCATTTTTTTTTTTTTCAATTTTTTTTTCATAATTGCTTTTTCCAAGATAACCAGCCTAACGAAATATATGATGGGGATGCTTGTACCGTACAGTCAATCAATCTATACATACCTTTTTCCTAAGGTCAATACCACATTTCAACCTAAATTATGATGATCGATGCCTAATTGGTCATCCCTAACACCAACTTCACCTTGCGCTTATGACTTTAAAAACAATTGCAATTAATTACAATGGTAGAGCTTTGTTTGTGTTAAAAAATTGAGGCTTAATTACATCTAAATTCATTTATTTATTAGTGAATATTATTTTATTTTTGATTTATGATCTTGTATATTTTGACTCCCTTAACTATAAAAATCTTACAACCAATTGGTTGATTTAGGATTCATTTGGGGAGTGAATTTTGGTTTTTTAGCTAAAATTCAAGATTAAAAAAATTGAAGTATTTGAAAATTGATTTTTGACCTTTTATAGAAAAACATGTAAAAATAAAAAGAATGAAAATGAATCTTTGATATTTTGTTTGATTTTTTCGCTTTTTTGATGACTTTTTGACTACAATATAAAGTTATCGAACGAATCCTCAGTTGACCAGTCCTGTACACTCTCAATTGAGAGATTAGGGGATCAATTTTTATCAAAGAAAAAGATTGATTATTTACTCCCTATTGGCGTATCTTTGTTTAATTATTTGTTTCTTTCCTATTATGAACTCTTTCTTGTAATGGTTGTTGGTGTTGGATTTGTTGTTTATCTTTTTGGACTTTATTATGGCCCTGTTTGATGGAGTTTTTTTTTTAAAGTTAAAAGCTAACAATAAAAAGCAGAAGCTAAAAATACCCTTATCCCAGCTTTCAAATAATTAGTTTTTTTTTTCAACTTATTTAAGTTATTTCTGTCTAATAAGTTATAAGCAGAAGCTGTACCAAACAATCTGGCACAGACTCCCAAATCAAAATAAGCTATAATCACCCTCCAAAAGCTGTAACAAACAGTACCTAGATATGGTTGATTGTTCAATTAATGTAATTACTTTAATATTTATAAAAATATTCTATTAATAGATAATATATATATATATATATATATTTAAAATCGTACAAATGCTATCCTTTTGAAAAGGGCAGTAAAATTATACGTCTTTTGCATTTTGGGATTTTTAGTTAATTTTTCTATCTCATTTTTCTAAAACCATTTGTTAGTCAAACCTCAATTTTAAAATTTCCTAATTATTCCTCGAAAATAAAAGCAGATGGAGGGAATCATATATAGATCAAATTATCAAATTAATAGGTTGGAGAAGCTACGTGAAGGGCTCCACGGCTATGGACATAGCTATTTTAGTATGTGAATCGATGTTGAACTTTTATCTCCTTGGATATTCTTCTTATTGAGCTTGATTTGTTGCTTAAGCATGTATTAAAAGATAATGTTTATGCATGGTGTACGGGGAGTAAATATTTTTTACTTCCGTACTCCTTTTGTCCAAGTTTTACGTTGCTCCGAACAGTGTCGTACAACCTGAAAGCACAACGATGGTGAGCTACCCAGCGAGTGTGTTGCCGGAAAACTCTTCTGACGGTCAAGTTAGCATCCTTAGAGAAGAAAGGCAAAACAAGAGGTAACTCAGAGTAAGGAAAGTTTCGGACCTTTTGCATGGATGCGCCGTAGGGTTTATGTAGTTTGTGCGTGCACTATCTCACTCGTCTTTTCATAGACGTGTGGATGTACTATCCTCTCTTTGCCTTACACGTGTATACGTCAATACTGCCAAGCAACATTAAGGGTTCGTTTGGGATGTTGGTTGGCTTTTTGGCTATTTTAGCTTGTGGCTAAAAAGTCTTGTTTGGAATATGCTTTTTGACTTTTTTGACTTTTGTGAAAGAAAAAATGAAATGATTGTGAGTTGGATATGATGTTTTGTCTTATTGAGCTAAAAAGCTTATTTTGTCATTTTGTGGCTATTTTAGCCAAAAAGCCTTTGGCTTTTTTATGCCAAACGAGCTCTAACTAAACCTCCAAACGGTATTGACGCGTATAAACAGCGAATTTTTTCCTTTGCATTAGAATTGGGCCACGTAGCATACACCAACCGAGCTAACTCTTGCTCGGTTCGTCTCACATCAACCAAACCAGATTGACTCTGGCCAAACTGCCATGCACCTCACAGCTCTACTTGGCTTGCATCTCGGTTAAGCTATGGATCGCCCTTATTAGCTAGAATACGCAGCTCGGTGGAGAGTCTTGTTACCTTCCTGACCTCTTCTCGGCCTGGCATAGTTGCCCGACCACCACACTCAGCCCGGTCACGGGTTGAGTGGTCGACCTCGGTCATCTCTCTAGCCCGATCAAATCTTGTTCACCTCCCATGGCGAATCCTGCCTAGCTTCAGAGCTCGATTGAAGTCATTGGCCACAACCCTTAGCCCTATTAAAGTTAGGCTGCTACTTGATCGTACTTGTCCCTTGCCCCAGGCCGATTAGACATCTCAGTCCAATGTCTGGGCATCCTTCCTGCTCGGTTATGAGATTTAGGACAACATCCCAGATCTAAATTTTGCTCGGCCCATTTGTTTGGCACAAATTCCCTTCTCATATGATATGCATTAGTTAAGATTAATTATCAAGCAGATTGCAATGGCCAAAACTGATATGGAGATTAATGGTAACAAAATATAAATAACATTTGTGTGTGTCATCAACAAAGAGATAGAGAGAAGACTTCTGTCCAAATTTGGTAATGTATCAAACTTTTGTCATGTTTGGCACAAGGGACAATAATGCTAAAATTTAATAGTTTAACGACAGTTGCATAGCTCTCTTTGTTACTCAAATAGGTTTAAATACTAATTACTGTATCAACAAGTATATCAACTAAGATATAAGATATAGATGTGAGATCCACCACCTGACATGAGACCTACTTAACATTGAGTATAGTTATCACGTTTTTTAAAACATTAGTTATTATTTCCAACATTATTATATATATATATTTTTTCTTGTATAGTATATATTGTTATTTATAATAATAAATCGGTTTCTTACCTAAAAAAATGGATAAAGTAAAGTAAAGTAAAGTAAATCGGTTTCTTACATTATTATTGCACATAAAACATTGGGGACATTTGTGCATTGGTAGCTGGATTACAGAGGGGAATAAAGGGAATTTGAAACATTTCCTAAGCTAACCATTTTTAATGTTCATGCATCTTAATTAGGATAGTATTTTCATTTTCATTTTTATTTTTATTTTTGGCAAAAAGTACTTAACCCTTTTGGTTTTGGGCTGGTGCAGATGACCCCCTGACTTTGGAAATATGCAGATACCTCCTCTATAGTTTTGAATTTATCTGCAATCGTCACGCCATTAATGTTTATGTCAAAAAGACTAGTTTACCCTTATTGACACAGACACACCCACCTCCCACATACGTCACACACATGTATTTTCCTTCTCTCTTTTCTCTCTCTCTCTCTCTCTCTCTCTCTCTCTCTACACACACACAACAAATATCACATCACATCACTCAAACACTTTTTTAATTAAAAACAAAACAAATTTTATTCAATTTTATTTTAATAAAATACATATAATTTTTAATATATAAATTCAATTTTTATAAA